TTGCCGGAAAGTAAATTCGGACGAAAGGAAGTTTTTTTTTGGTATTAAAAAGAGAGCTGACAGACGGAGTCTGCAGCGCTCGCAACAAGAATAATGATTTTATCAAGAAGCTTAGTTAACATGAGTCTCATAACATGACAAATATATCCCACATATTGGACGGGACCCTCATTATTCAACTACCGCGCCTACAAGATTGGGCTTTGAAAGTCTCGTATCCCAAACCATGACTTCAAACACTCTGATGCTTCAATTACATCACTCCCCATACGGTTTTTAAGATCTGTGATCGTTATAAGCTGTTGCAGAAGTGTTTGGCAAGGTTTGGCGCTTGTTCGGATGCAAACTGTTGTTAGATTCTCAGTGGTTACAAAATATGAAGGCTGGCCAACTCAGGTGGTTGGGGAGTAAAGATAAAAGACCTCAATTATTCAAGTTAAAGAAGAAGAGGATGGACAACGATACATCACAAATTTTTGTCCCTAATAGTGTCACCGTATTTCTGACAACTGTTTTGCGGTCTCTTCGAATGACTGGCAGAAGGCGCTGAATACTGTTAGCTTGGCGTTACATGCTTCCCCTTTCTGGCGCGCGAGCAGGTTCGCTGATTCTAGGATTGAGACTGGCTGGTGTTCCCTGGGTGAGGAGAGCTCGGGGAAGCCTAGGGGGATAGCCTGTTGAGCTCCTTCCGCGGCTCTGGCAAAAGAAACGGCCTTTAGTGGTGAAGATGGCGTGCGGGTTGCAGGCTAGATCCGAAAGAGCCAATTGGGCGATTCACAACGGCGGAAGGACTGTTTCGGAGAAGGGCTGCGCGTGCCCCTCGAGCAAGGTCGGTTGGGGTGTGAATTCCCAGATCATACGGAAATGGGATGTCATGCGGACTGGTGGTAGCCATTGCCATCGCCGCCGTCGAGGGCTGCGCAGAGGCGCGAGGAAAATAGTTTTGATCGCAGTTATTAAGGGATTCGGTATAAATTAAGTGTAATTTCTTAACATCTACGTGCCAAGAAAGTAATAATACAGGGGAAGGTTGACTAGCACTGATACCATGCGTCGAGCAACCCCCTCTTTGAGGTTGCAGGCGAAGACAGAACCTAAAAAGTGAGGGCGTGGCACGAGTAACTCGAGCATTACACTGTGATGATATGAGCAATATCCAGTACATGGCCGTGAGCGGAACTGAGACCTGATCTCCACCACCGCTCGTCTGGTAACATGACACTAGTTGGCCAAGTAAGCAAGCCTTCCGCCGGTCTATTCTGAGTCAGTTCTTCTTCCCTGAATCGTCCCAAAGTCTCTGGTCCTCGCGAGAGAGAACACATATCGCACCACGAAATTAACTACGGTTGAGTAGCGTAACTAGTTATACTTGTACAAATTCATATAACAGAGCATTGATGTAAAATCATCTGTCATGCAGAACAGGCAGTATTAGTTCGCCGGTTCGGACAGCCAAGGCTACATGCCGTTACATGCGGCCAAGTCTTCCAACCGGCTGGCCAACTGGATTAAAAAGATGCTCTGTTCTGTTAGCGGAATCCTTCGCCTGGCAGGCGACAGTAGCGCCCCAGAATATACCACGGCACCATTTGCCGTTGCAGTTTTCTTCGCTCAAAACCATAAATACTGCATCTTACAAGCCTGACTATACTTGGCTTACCTTTTTTCCACTTTGGTGTATCAACATCGCAGCGACGTTTGTTGGCTTGACTGAGAGCCATGTCAAACGGAGTTAGCAGGACATTGGCCATTCAAAACAGCAGTAAACGTGGTGTGACCCCTGAAGCAATGATGCTACCTCCTCTGCGACAGGTCAGTAGCCTCTGATTGTACGTCATTTTAGATTTGATAGCTAATGTCGCGTAGCTTTTTCCCGAGCTGTGTACGCAACAACCTTTCTATGCTACTCCGTCACCGAGTGTCCGACAGCAGTCATCACCGGTGCATGTTCATTCGCCAGCCTTCATTGGATGTCAAAGTCTTGAATACTCTCCACGCGCAAGTCCGACCTCAAGCCTAAGGAGCGATGATGCGGCTGAATCGAAAGACCGAAGCTTACCAGAACCCCTAATCATGAGTAGGCTCCGGCGAAGCACGCACTATTCTCGAACGTCTAAGATACGACGGCATCCAACGTACGTGGCGGTTCAGCCAGAGATGCTCATCAATCCATC